CATCGAGTTTCTGGCTTAGGTGGAGGTTGGAGGGGGCAAGGGTATACTGAGGAAGAGCAGTTTCAGTGGCGCTGGGTCTGTGGCGTGGTGGCCCGGCCTTGTGTGGGCAGCCAGACACGTGGATCCATTGCCAGAATGGTAGAGGCTGGAGACCCAGATCTAGCTGTCATTGACACACGGGACACACTGGAAGTCTAACATAGACGAGATCTCCCAGAAGGAATGGGTCCCTGAAAAGAGAAGAGGACCCTGGAGCAACACCATCGCCTGGGAGAGGAGCCAGACTCAGGGGTTCCGCCTGCCCCGGGGCTCTCCTCAAAGCCTCACCCCAGCGGAAACTCATCATGGAGCTCCTCCAGTACCCACCCTGGGAATGGCCTTCCCTCCTTGTGGTTGATAGCACTAGAGCCTTGACCACAGTCCCACTTGGGTTGGAACTGGTTGTACCCAGGCCAGCTCAGCACGGCCCCTGACACATGCACCCCATGAGTCAATAAACACCGGTAAGGACTGGGGTCGGGGAAGGACTGGGCTCGGGGAAGGCAGGCTGGGCACCATGGGTCTTTGTGTTCCCAGCACTTACTGTGTTGCCAGCACACAGCAGGTTCCTGATAAATTAATGTTTCATGCCATTTGACTCTGTTTTTAAAAAATGATGTGTGTACAAAGAAGAAAGCAACAAATCACCCCAAATCCAAACACCCTGAATTATCCAGGGTTAACATTTGGGGAATTGTATTCAGAGTTTCTCTTTACGTGTATATTCAGATGAGATCGGGCACGCTTAGTGTGGCATGGCCGTAGACCTTATGTGTATATTCAGATAAAAGACTAGATGGAGGAGTGGATGGATGGATGGATGGATGGATATAAAAACAGACAAAAGCAACTTTATAAAAATATAAGCGTACCATATTTGCTGTTTTAAAATGAAATGCATGAAATTGATAGAACTTAACTGAAGAGAAAGACACTGCAGCAAAATGGAAGAATAGGTGGATTTGAGATAAGTGTTAATTCATCACAAAAGATATTAGTACAAAAAGATCCCTCTATAGGAGACAGAGAGAGGATAAAAACCATCAAAGGGCTACAGCCATTATGTTGTACTTTTTTCTAACGACGTGTTTCAATTTTAGATGCCATGGGTTGACTCCGATTTAAAGAGATTCTTAGTAAGTGCACCCCCATCTCCCCTCCACCCACCCCCTAATTTTGGTTGCTTAAATTAGTTTTACTTTGACAGGTTTTATAACATTTACATTCCGTTCTGTAACCAGCATTCACCTAGTTGCTATTCCTGGTTCTGCACTTAAATAGATTTGAAGCTCACCACCACTCACTCTAACAGAGGTTCTACATTACCGAGTTGGTTTTTTTCTTTTTCTTTTGAATCATCTCTTGGTTGGCAGGATTTTGTCACTGAACATGACTTTCAAGAAGAGCTTGTGAGTGCTTTGGTCGCTAAGCCCTTTTGTGCTAGGAAAGGGTGACTTTGTACCCCCGTGACCGCCTGGCTGGTGTGGTATTCTTGGGTTGCGTTCTTTTCCCTGTGGAATGCTGTGGGTATCCTCCTTTGCCTTTCATTCTATCCCTTCATCTTTTTGCTGGGGTTGGCAGCACCTGGTGACCAGCATCTCTTCCATTCCCTAAGTTCCGAACCACTTGAGAAAGAAGATGAAAGAGGAACGTGGCTGTTAGAGAATGGGGTGAACACAGCCTTAGAATGAAACAGGCGGGACTGCGCTGAGCCCAGCCTCCTCCCCACAGGCAGTGCCTGTCCATCTAAAACCTAAGGCTCAGAGGGGTGGAGCAGGCTTCCTTGCTTCTGAGGAGGAGGAGGAGGGAGGGGAGGGGCGGGTCACAGGCTGCCCAGTGTTTCCCAGTGACTCACCACCCAGGTGTTCCTCCACCTCCAGGGCCCAAGAGCATGTGGGGCTGGGAGATGGTTCCGGTGTGGGAGGAACCTCCCCTCCACGTGGGAGGAGCCCTCAGGATAGAGGAGACTGCATCTCCCCATCGCTTGTCTTTGACGTCTTAATTTATTGAATCTATATCTTGATTCAACTTCATCTACAGCACAAAGTGCTCTCAGGAACTTGCTTGCACGTCTCAGGTTAGGTTTTTTCCCAAAGAAGTTTCTTCATCGGTGCCAATGTTGCAGCGGGACAGTGTGAACCAAGGACATTGGATTTGGCAACAGCAGGATCTAACATGACCTTAATTTAGATGTAGAGGTTCACGTTTCAGTGGTGGGTCTGAAGGCAGACTGAGGGAGGTCAAGGAAAGGGTGTGAGTTGAGAAATCAGGCAGAAGGTGCAGCGTATTCCTTAGCGAGCTCCAGAAGGAGGGAATCTGCAATCCCGCCTTCCTCTTCACCATCTTTAACGTCTCCTCTCTTGGTTGCTTCCCCTCTGCCTATAAACGGGCACCAGCCCTCACTGCAGAAATCTACAACCTAGGAACCACGGCTCAAGCCCGCTTACAGGCAGAGGGGAAGAGGCCAAGAGGGAGGGGGACATTAAAGATGATGGAAGAAGGGCAGAGGCTGAGAGAGATAGGGAGAGACAGATGGGACAGTGAGGCCTTGAGTGAAGCCAGAGCAGGAGCTCCAGACCCAGGAGTGGCACCCAGGCTGGGAGGAGGACTGTGTCTCCTGGAGTGGCCAAGGTGACCACCCAGCCTCACTGGAGAGACAGCAAGGCACCCACCAATTCCTCCATCTTCCCAGTTCCGGAGGAGACCTGGCGTCCGTTGGGAACTCAGGGGGCCGAGGAGGAAGGGCACTGAGGTGGGTGGAGAAGAGTCAAGACCGCCAGGGTCACGGTGTCAAGGGCAGCGCCTCTGTGGCATCCAGGGATGTGAGTAGTGAGGCTGGAGGGGGGCCTGTGCAGCTGGGGTGGAGCCTCTCCCCTCTGCAGCCTCATCGCGGCTCTGGCCCAGCTAATGCCGGATGCTGTGAGACCCCAGGAAGGCAGAGCTGTTGAGGGCGGTGGGACCAGGAGCCAGGGAAGGACTCACTTTGTGTGACCTTCCCTACAGTGGGCAGGCCTGTCAGCAGTCACTCGGCTTCACTTCCTTACCTTTTTCCTGAAGACAAAAAGAAGGAAACTCTGCGTTGCTATCTAATTCCAGGCAGCGCCCATTCTGTTGGTGAGACCGAGGCCCAAGGCACAGGGAAAGACCCCAGAAGAGGCGAGAGTGGGGGGACGGAGTTACATCTAGGCGGCTGCAGTGATTCTGCAGGACTGGGGTGTAGGGGAGCTGATGAGGTTGGAGAGCTGGGCCAGGGTCAGATCACAGATGGCCTTGAATGCCATGCCAAGGATCTGACTCTGAACTGAAGTTCAGTCTGGTGCAGGAGGGATTGCAGGGGCAGGGGTCTGGTGCAGTTAGAATAGTGAGGTTGTTACGACCACAGGCCAGGTACAAGGGCACACAGCTGGGCTCAGTAGGCTCAGATGGAGCTACCGGACTTGGTGACTGACTAGATGTGGGTGAGGTGGATGTGTCAGTTTCTGACTTAGACGGCTAGGGGTTACTTTTCACAGAGGTGGGACCAGACTGTCACGGAAGGTGGGGGTGGGAGATCAAGCCTGGGAGACATCCAAAGGAGATGTCTGGTGTGCAATTGTACATAGCAGCCTAAGGCTTGGAGAGAACTCTCAGGTTGGAGCTGTGGACTGGGGTCATCTGCACACGGGAGGTGGCTATGGCCATGGCATGGCTGCCATCACCCAAGGCAGACCCCGGAGGTTCACCAGTGCTTAAGAGGCGGGCAGAGGAGAAGGCTCATGAAGGTGTGGTCAGAGATATCGGTGAAAGCAACAGAAAGGAGCAAAGGTGTCATCCAAACCAAGAGCAGTGTTTCAGGAAGGGAGAGGTGGGCCATGCCCTGTGTTACCGGAAGGCCCAGCAAGACAGAGCGTGTCCACTGACCTGCAGCAGCAAGAGCACAGGCGGCCTTGGGAAGAGCGATTTCAAGGGCCTCACGGAGCAGAAGTCAGACCCCGGAGAGTGAGGCGTGCAGGAGGGCACAGGACCGTGCTGCTCGCCAAGCTTCCGCATTGGCCGCGAGTGTGGCGCCCGTACTCTCTGGGTGTTGCTGACTCTCCCTTGCTTTGTCAAAATAAGTCTTTAGCTCTTGGAGCGAGTCTCATTTGACCAAGGATCTCTAGAGTGCCTGTGTCACCAAGGCCTCAGCTCGCCCATCTCCTGTCCCTCTCATGGAACCTCCTTGGTCACAGAGGGTGGAAGACTCCTTGTAGGCGCTCAGAGCTCCAGCACCTTGGTCAGGTCTGCAGGCTGCCTGAGGAGCGCATTGGGAGGCTGCTGTGCCCGGAGCAAGGCTGCAGCATGCTGAAACTAGGCCTTGCTACACCACATCTCCCGCCCATCGCCTTTCACTCACTGGGCCCCCACTCACTTCTCATACTCCCCCTACTCTTTCATGAGATAACCGCAGAATGGGGGAGCCAGAGGAGGCCTTTGCATCTTCAGGCCATCGCCTGAGTAAATGCGGGACCCTGGAGGGGCAGTGATTTGCCTACAGCATTGACCAGGGTGTATCTGGTGTTCTGGCCCCTGCGTAAGTTCCTGGTCTGGAGAGAGGAGCATCTAGGAAAGACCTCTGTGGGGAGGGAGAGGCCCAGAGTCCCTTGGACTTGGCCTTCCCCAAAGACCTGAGCAGGTCGGTGCACCTTGGGAAGCCTCTCAGGGCCAAAGATGGCTACCAGGCTCCCCTGACTCCACCCTTCTTCTTCTTCTTCTTCTTCTTTTCTTAATTATTATTATGTTTTTATATAGAGACAGAGTCTCACTGTGTTGCCCAGGCTGGTCTCAGAACTCCTGGGCTCAAGTGTTCTTCCTGCCTCAGCTTCCCAACATGCTGGGATTACAGACATGAGCCACCGCACCCTCCACTTTTAAGGGCCTCTCTTGGAACAGACCTGGGGCCCTTCATTGATCTGTGGCTCCACTACCTCCTCCGCGATCGGCAGGTACCAAGGCCACGTCCCCACTGTGGCTTTCTCCTTTGGCGCTCCGTACGGCACCACCACCCTCAAGTACTTCCAGGACCACCGCAACACAGCCATGGAGAAGAGCCACACTCCTTTCAGCCAAGGCGGCCACTTCCCCACCATCTTCTCCACCAACCCCAACCTCCTGCTGATGGAGCGCGCCAGCACCCGGGACCGCTGGCTGCACAAGCCCAGCTACACTCGCTTCAACCTGGACAGCCACCGATCCACAGAGCTCACGAACTTCTACCAGGTAAGCTGTGCGGGGCTGCCCTGTGGCCTCCCCTCCTGCCCACCTGCCCCCACCACGGGAAGGAAGTGATGGCCAGGGACTGGGGGAGACCTCGTACCTGCCACAGTGTCTTGATTTCCTTTCTCAGAGCCCTTGAGCCAGCAGGGAGCATGGCGGGTTTGGCTAAAGGGAGTGGGGAGGCTTAGGACTTTGCCCCCCTGATCTCTCCCCACATCCTGGGGCTTCTGGATCTCCAATTCCTGCTCACCCCCACTGCCAGTGCACTGCCCTTACCTCCCCTGGAGTCTCTTGGATCTGTGGAATGCCATATATTTTCAAGGTGAGTAAAAGGTCTAAGATCCACCCACCAGATGAATAACACGAGCAAAGGCCCCACTAGAGCCCCCTGCCCCAGGTCCAGCCCCACGGTGTTTTATCCACTCGCATCCGAGAGCCTGTTCACCCCCTCCCTACCCTGCAGCCCCCCTGGGGGCATGCTCTGAGTCACCCTCAGCCCCAGGCTGGAAGAGACTGCCCTGCAGGGAGTAAGCCCGAGGATGGGGACCTACCCATACCCCTGTTGTTCTTGTCCTGCTGTTTGGGCTAGTAAAGCCTCCCTAGATGTGCTTCAGACACATTCCCAGAGACCACAGGTGCATGGGCCTGAGCTGGCCCTTATGCCCTTGGCAGGGATACGGGTTCATTCTCTCCTGTGTTCCCAAAACCTTACTCTCTCCATCACCTTCTCTCGCAAGCCACCCCCTCTAGCCTGATTGCAAGGACAAGGTATGTCCTGGCCCCAGGGTAGAGAACTTGTATGAGTAAAGCAACTTCCTTGGGAGAGGAGGAGGTCGATGCCACCAGCCTCTGATGCATATGTGACCATCTCGGGGGGTCTGCCAAAGCCTTTCCCTCCATCTTGGTGCTCAACAGAACATGCCCCATACAGGGGGGAAGGAGAGAAGGGAGCAAACACAGGCCAGGCAGACATGGTGCCTGTGTGCACAGCAGGTGTGCGTATGCCTGCGGGGCTGAGTTTTTGTACTTGGTCCGAGCTGGTCCCTTGTTTCATTTACACTCTGTAGCAAAGCTGGTCTGGTGGGTGTCATTATTCCCATTAGGCAAATGAGAAGTTGAGGCTCAGTGAGGACAACCAGCTGGTTGGCAATTGAGTTGGGACCCCAGCAACTCCGGGACTCCTCCAGGGGCATTAGGGGAGGTGGCCCCCAACCCTGCCCAGGTGCAGCAAGGCATGGACTGCAGGTGCCTGGGGTCAGTCCTGCGGACTAACAACCTGTCATCTCTTCCTTGATTGAACCATAGGCAGTCCAGCAGCATCGGAAGTACTATCAAGACAAGACGGGCACGGTGCCTCGAGTCCCCTACTTTGTGCTGCCCGTGAGGGAGCTGGAACACTACCCCCTCCCCACTGTCCTGTGAGTTGTGAGTCCCTGCCCTCCCTTCATCCACGCAGTCAACAAACGCACCCATGGGGCACCTGCTCTCGGCCAGGCATGCACAGCGCACAGACTGAGAAATGAGTTGAGGATCTTGCCCTAAAACGTGCGGTGCAGAGAGTGATGGTTGCGGAGCAAGGGGGTCAGGGCATTGGCAGCCTCAGGGGGGATGCTGGTAGCCTGAATGGGTGAATCAGGAAGAGTGCTTTCCTGGCCAGATGCACTGGGAATTTGGGAGAAACTCCGTAAGCTCAGTGGGCCTGAATCTGCGGACTGATGCCCTGCCTGCAAAGGCAGCCTGGCAGCTACACTAGTCCTAACGCGGGCGCCCATGCAGAGAGCAGTAAGGAGCTGCTGCCCTCTGGTGGAGACAGAGGGCACTACACCGAGCAGGAATCTCCCCCAGCCCCGTCCACATTTGGAAAATGTTCTCCTAAGGACTTTCTGTCCATCTAACAAAATAGGAAAGTTCCTTGCCTCCTGCCCCTCACTGCTTTTATCCAGGAGAGCTCCTTTCTCCAGGGAAGGCCCACTCTGCCCTGAAAGATGACCTGGGTACTGTGGTTTCTGTGCTCTCTCCTTCCTGAAGCACAGGCAGGGGTATCACTAACTCACACGAGGTGTCCTGGGGTGGGATAGGGTGGTGGGTGGTACCTAGTCAGTGGATAGAGCTTGGGATTTAGCTCCATACCGACCACTCCCTGCTTGCCTCAGAGTCCTGAGATTCACCATCATCCTTACTGATAAAGCAGCATCTGTTTTCATAAGTTTAATGGTTTTTATAGAAACAGGCTTCACTGCATCCAAAAGTTCCTTTGTGCAAGATAGGATCATTTTACAAAAAAAGGGAACCCAAGGTTCATTTATCACCTGGGGAGCTTGTGCTGCATGGCCTGGATGGTTGGAGGCAGAGTTTGGAAAGGAAGCAGCATCTCCCATCACCACCTCTAGGACTCAGGGGGCTCTCTCTAATCTTGGGATGGCTCTGAGCCAGTCCGTCCCTGGAGTAGAGTGGGACTCTCCTGTGGACAGGTATCCTCTTGAGACAGCTCTGGCCAGGATCTGCCCCCACCCCCATCACCATGGGGAGAGCGGGACACCTCAACTCTGTTCCTTCTTCAAGTTGCCTGGCCACTTGCACTGCTGCTGACAGTTTCACACTGAATGCAAACGGCCAACCAGGTGGTTGAGAGAAGAGGGTCAGTGACGGGCCTGGGGCAAGCCCCTCCCTCCTGGAATCCCCTCCATCAGCACCATCATCATTTCTTAGAACATTTGTTGTGTGATTACTCCTTGTCCAGAGCTTTACATGCATTACTGCATTTATTCCTCAAGTCAACGCTAAGAGGGGGATACCACCACTGAGCCATTCTTAAATATGCACACTTCTAGCAGGAGTTGGGACCAGAGTCCATCCCAGGTCTGTCTGACATCTGTGCCCTCACTCTTCACCACTGTGCCACTATGTAAATACAGGTTATTCCCACCCCAAGTCCAGGGGGACCTATCAGGTGTTAAGCTGATGAGTAGCCAGCAGGCCAGCATAAGCTGGAGAGTTGGCACATGGGCCTGTGGGTGGGCATGCATCACCCTCTTTCCCTGGCACACTGAATAACACCAGTCCCATCCTTACCCCTAGGCCTCCTCTGTGCCCGAAGAAGAAGTGGCACCTTTTGAGAGTAGCCCCCGAGAGCCTGAAGACCTATCAGACCTTTCCGTCAGGGAAGAGGGTCTCCCCGCAAGAGCGGAAGAGGAGAGACTGCTACTTTGAGTTCAGAGCATGAGACCAGGTTCCTGATGCCTGGGATCCTGGGTGGAGACCAGCCTGGCTTCCCTGGAATAAAACCTTTAGCCGTGACCATCCTACCCACCTCTCCTCTGGATCCCAGGGACACTCGGCCACAGCAGGAAATGCCCCCTGAAAGTCACACAGCATTGTGTCCTATGGGCCTGCGGAAAGCTCTGTCCCAGGGACTGAAGCCGAGGAAAAGTGGTGTCCGGCTACCTGACAGGTCCAACTACCTTCTCCCCAAGATGAGGCAAGTTGAACTGAGGAATGTAGGGTTCCCTAGCCTTAGTGGCAGGCCACTCAGATACAGAGACCTCCCACCTGATTCTACTGGTATGAGCAAGGAAGTCCAGTTACCCCAGTCTAAGAATGAAGGGGAAGTGGCCCCAGAATAATCGTACTGGGTATGATTGGAAAGGAATTTTCATCGGAGCCCTGACTTGGCATTGTTTGGTCCACACGATCACTTGTGAGGGAAGAAGTGTTATTATCCACACTTTACTGATAAAGACACTGAGGCACAGAGAGGGTGAGGGTGAGAAAGTTGCCCAAGCTTACACAGTTGGGAAGTAACACAGCCAGAATTTGAACTCAGGTCTTTCTGACTCCCAAGTCCTGGTTTTTCCATGACACAGCCTGCTTGTGGTCCATGTGGAGACTGAGGGGCAGGGAAGACATAAACCTTGGGATCCTGAAGGAGCCTGTGGAGGGTGGAGCCTGGGAGAAGAAGCTGTGCACAGCAGGCACCTTCTGCATTCTGCCGAGGCTGGCTTGGACGGGTGGATGCAGCATCTACCCCTGAAGCTGTTTCTAGAAGAGGATGGGAGGGAATGACCTAGGACCAGGCCACTCTTCCAGGAATTCCTATGTTTTGGGGCCCCAGGCCAGAAGTGGATGCTGGGCGTGGATGCTGAGGCCACATGCCTGGGGTGGTCTTTGAGGGTCTGAAGGATTCGCTCCCACCAGGCTGCTGCTTCCTACCTCCCAGGAGGCTCCTGCCTGCTGGGGCAGGGGCAGGACGGGGGTGAGAGCCCCTCAGGGACAGGATCAGGGATGGGGACCTCAGACCAAGGTGAGGACCTTCTCCCACATTCCAGTACCTCTTGGATTTGATCAAGGGCACTCCATTAAACGACAAGGCCCTTACTGTCCTTGAACAGGTGAGTCAGGACCTAATGGCAAGGGGAACACAGCCAGGTTCAAGTATACCTGGGGCTGGAGCAGCCCCTCCTCTGTAGCCAGCGATTAGATTAGACACCTCCCCCAGGATAATGTAAATAAGAAAAACCCAGTGGGGGGCTTCTGTGTCTCCAAGTCCCTGAGGAGTTGGACCCCAAAGGCTCTCTGTGGTGGCCAGATTCATTCCAGGGCTTGGCTGAATAGCAAAGCAAATAAACTCTGATTGCTGGTCCCACAATCAGGGCCAAGATGCCTTCTCCCTCAGAAGGGGAGTGGGGAGCCGGGCGCCGGCTGGAATGGCTGCTATGTGCCCGTCTGTGCAGCTCTGCAGTGCGAGGTGCTGGGGGTCGGGGGTTTTGATGAAGGGAGGGAAGGACCTCTATCTTGCTAGGGACCTTCATCCCATTTGGCTTGGTCCCCTGCTATGATATGGGTTGAGATTTGAACTATTCCCTCAAAAAGATTGCCACCCCAGCCTGCTTGATGTCGCTGGCACACGGAAGCCCTGGAATGGGCAGTTCTTAATAAAAAGTACCATGTATGATCCTGCATTTAAAAAGTGATGATCTGGTGGGCTCAGGAACAGGTTTTTCTTTTCTTTTATCTAATAAACAATATTCTAGAGGGGAGGGTGGGCCCAGGACAAAGTCATACTTCAAACCAGCTCCCTCCACTGCTGGAGGGGGTTCGATGGCAGTGGTCCGCCTCGAGGCTGCCACGTCAGGTATTTGCAGCTACATCAGCATCCCCAGAAGTGAATCCGAAAGGAGCTGAAAGAAAGAGTCCCGTGAGCCACGTGAGCCCGCAGGTCCAAGGGGCCCTCTGACTCCTGGGTTCACAGTAGTCCTGGAGGCTCCCTCACTGGCCTGCATCTCATGTCCCTTTCTCTGGGCGACAACCACTTTGCAGCTGTCCCAAAGCAACCCCAAACCTTCTTTAAGCTTCTTTCAGCATCACCACAAGGCAAAGGCAGGGCACCAGAAGGAACCTTGTGGTGCTCGCATCAGTGGAAAGAAATGGAAGAGATTCAAAGCGAAACTCCGAGCAGTCAGGGTGCCAGCTTCATTACGTGCTGGGCTGTGACAGAACAAGAGGAGTTACCTTTGGCCGGGGTCATCCCAAGTGTGCATCCTTTTAGAGAGGGGCCACCCAGGCCACAGGCCCTAGCAGGCCTGTTGGAATGAGGAGCCCCCTCCTCATTCAGGCAGTCAGAAGAGGGGAGGACCCCTGACCATGGCCACTCGGATCCTGTCTCTGGGGATTTGGAGTCAGAGCTGAGTGGTGTTACTTAGGAGTCACTGAAGGTCACTCAAGACCGAGGAGGTATAAACTTGACCACTGCAGGGAGGCCATGCATGGTCTTGTGTCTGACAAAGCAGAAACAGCTGGTGCACAGCACTGAGTGAGCATGGAAGGCTGATGGGAGGCAGAGACGTTGGCACAGAGGGACCTGGCAGCCCCGGGCTCCTGCCCTGGTGCTGGCTGAGTCTAGCTCTTAGTTCTGTTTCCCTTCATCTGTAAAAGCACCTTGAGTGGGCACACGTGAAATCAGCGCGCCTCTGAGACCAGGGGCAGAGTCGGACCCAGGAGCAGGAGACGCCAGCTCCACCCGGCTCGTCCTCCATGGCGCGCACTGCCTCCAGGGGGCATGCATCTCCCGAAAGCGGCAGCACCCCAAAAAGACTTCAACATGGCCAGGGAGATCTGGAGATGGTCAATCTTCTCAAGGATGTTTGGGCCTCAGAAGACCCTTTGGGCCCCTCTTGCTCTAAGAAATAGAATTGGATGCTTCTCTCATTGTTTCTTTTCTTCTATGAGCTCCACCACCAGCATCTTCTGATCCTCCCTGAAACCGCCAACTCCCAGTTGGCTGCCGGAGGCAGTGGGGTCATCAGGAGTCCAGTGGGCCTCAGGAGAAGCACAGAGGTGTGTCGGCTGGCACAGGGAATGCTCTGAGGTTGGAGCTGTGATGTCATTCTCAAAGCCTGGGATCCAATCCTCTCCTCTGCCTTTTAATACCCCAGGGTTACCTAATTTCTCAGAAGCTCCAGTTTTGCTGATTCTGAAAGAATCTGCAAAGTATTCTGGAAACTCAGCCTCCTTGGGAAGACTGAGATGTCCCATGGGGTGAGGAGAGATCGGGGGGCCCTTCATGCCCCCCCACCCACTCTTCTGGGCAGTCCCGCCCCCTCCAGAATACCTTACTTCATGAAATCCGGAGACTTGGCCATCGCATGTTCAAACTCTGAGAAGGACAGCATGTTGTCATTGTCCAGATCTGACTCACTCAGGACCTGGCCAGGGAGCACAGAAGGTGGCTGAGTGGAACCCGGTGTCAGGCAGTGAGGTGGGGCACGGGGTGGAGGGGAACGCCACATACCAGGGGCTCTGCCACATGCTTAACACTTGTCTCCCAGGTCCCCTGACCCCAGTGACCCCACAGAGATTAGGTCACGTACACCAAAGCTTTGGACCCTACTGGCTGCCACTCACTCCTGGGGCCTCCAGCACCAGCCTGACAGTGAGAGAACAAGAGTGTCCCCCACCTGCCCCGCCAACCAGTACACAGAGGGGCTCTGCACTACAGGGAGCCCAGGCAGGCAGGGAGGTAGTGGTGACTCCCTCAACAGTGCTCATGGTTTTATCTTCCTTCTAGTCCCCATCGAGACTGGAAATGCTGGACACTTGCCATGTTCTGAAAGCCGAAATCCATGCCCTGACTTGAGTTTGAGGGGCCGTCTTCATGTTTGTCACTCTGGGACACCTGGGCACTGCACTGTGTTGTGCTGGGACAGTGTGGGGAGGGGATGTTAAGATGGGTCCCTCTGAGGCTAAGCTGCTGTTGGCCCACTACTGGCAGTCCCTCTCATGTAGGGAGGTCCCTCGAGTGGGTGGGTCGGGCTCAGTGTTCTGGGGACTCTGGACAGGTCTTGGAGGAAGGACAGAAAGTCGAGGGGCAGTTGCCTCCCTCCGTGTGCCCATTCCTCAGGGCACCCTGAGCTGCCTGTCCCCTTGGCAGCCCCCAGGGAATGTGTGCACCAAAGGCCAATGTGTCATTGGACTCAGACTGGCCCTGGATCTCCTCCCAAGAGGGTGGCCTGACATCCGGGGGCTTTGGGTGACAACGTGGCCCCTATCCCCGGCCCCAGCCACCAGCTCCCAGCCCCCAGCACACACGTGGTTCGTGAGGTCCATCAGCAGGTCCTCAGACATGTCATCACTGTTCAGCAGCCGCAGGATGATCCTCTGCAGGTCCTCCTCATCAATGAAGCCATTCTCATTAAAATCTGCAAAGAAGAGGCCAGACCTGCATTAGAGGGAGATGGAGGCTGAATAGGAATAGGACTTGAGGAGTCTGGAGGGACACAGCACCAGCCAGGACCCCACAGATGCCCATTAGCCTCTGGGAGGCCCCCCAGAGCCCAGCTCTCCCAGGCGGGTCACACATGGGTGCTCAATAACCTGTCAGAAATACCAGTGGTAGTAAGTATTGATCGTGTGTGTGCTGCATGCTCAGACCTCTCCTGGGAGCTTGAAGTCACTGAATCTTCACAATCAACCTTTTATTAGTCTTTTACCAAAAAGAAACTGAGGCACAGAGGGTTCTATGGTTGCCAGGCAGTATGGAGCGGAGGGTGGCCTGGATCTGGAGTCGGAAGGCCTAGGTGCCAGTCCCTGCTGCTGTCCAGATGCAGTAACTGTGTGACCTGGGCATGTGCCCTCACCTCTGCAGTGAAGGCAGGACAGGGGTCCTTGTAGCCTCTCCACAGAGGAGCTAGCCATACTGACCCTGGCTGTGCCCTAAAGTGTTAAGGGGACAAGAGGCAATATTCCCTCCAACCCCGTGCAGCCTCCTTCCTGAAATGGAGTCCAGAAATGGGCAAGAACAGG